GGCCACACGCTGAATTCCAATTCAAATACTTCGATGGGAACCTTGGGTATGGTTAGGGTTTTTGAAGGCAGCCGCCTGCTGCACCTGGTAGACCTCCAACTTTTACTTACACCTTTATTTGTATTAAACCTACTTGACAATATTTTTCACAAGACCAAACAGTTGTCGTGCAGCCCGCAACGAATAGGTCCTATCGACTCAATCATGCAAGGAATATTAGTAGTGTGGTAAAATTGGACTACTGCTCCGATTTTTCAAAAACTACTGCGTGCGTTGCGTTCTTATTCTTGTAATGATGCTATTTTTGCTGATATTAGCAATAGAAGTGTGTTTGTTACTATTGTCTTAGGGTTTCTCCTTAGAAGAAAGCAATCAGTGGACCACTGTGTACATAGCGTTGTTAGGGCAATGTGTACATATTTAGTCATTGAGAATTTCAAAAATGTCAAAACGGAGGAAATACAAGAAATCGGTTGCCATGGCCCGCCGGCGGGCCATACGGTCCCACACGACCGACTTGGTGTGGCCCGCCGGCGGGCCATACGGTCGTCAAAGGGTTAATGTCTGACGTGGTCTGCAAAGTGAAACACGCACTCGCGTCCCACTGTCATAAAAACGCTAATCTTGCCATGACTTGCGAATGCAGGTCATTATGATCCTTGTTGTGTTTTTGTTGAAGGCTGAACCAGACGACTGAACAATCCTGTCTGGACTGGCCGCATGAAACCTCGATCTCTGAATGATATCCAAACCCAGCCCCAAAACAAGCACCAAAACATTGAAAATTCGCGCGAGTTCCATGTTTTTCGTGATACTTTTTTGCAGATGCTGATGCAGTATATATATGAAAGGTACATTTGTTATTATGCAAAAAAAATCTAGGGAGATGTACATTTTTGTTTCCAAAAAGTTATAACTTCCATCAGTTGTAATCTGAGAGGACACTGTGAAAAGACCCGCAAGGTTTGAGTAGTTTGCCTATCAAGGAAATCCAAAGCTATTCTCAAGAGCAACTTTGTAAGAGAAAAACTCCCACTGATGAATTTTTCGTGCGCATGAGCTTTTTCAGATTAAAACGATCATAACTTTGTTTTCATGAAAAGCTACACGGCGCCAAGATTCGAGCATGCTAAAGGTTACTTAATCTGTGCTGAAAAGTCAAATTGTAAGAAATTAATACCTTTGGTATATTTTTTGTTTTTTTTAGGAAAGGCGTTCTTTAATTGCAAACGATCATAACCTCCTTTGGAATATATATTTAGAGACAGCGAGGTAAACTACAAGGTTAGAGTTTCTGAAACATAGAAGCCGATCTGGAATCTCAAAACACAAAAAATAACCCTGTTGGTAAACATGGAGGAAGAGGTTTGCGCAGTACACATTTCTCTTAAAAGCGGCATTATGGGACTTGAATTATCATATTTTCTCGGAAATTGCTTTATTTCGAGTCAGTTAGTTCCCTGAGAAAAAAACGAAAGCTGCGCCTTGTAATTATTGTACAACCCTTCGTC